GTATTAGAACTATATGCACCCTACTTTGAGGGGCTACGTTCAAAATCACTTGGAGACCTAATTGCGATTTCAATGATTCAAGGGACTAAGTTTACAATACTAAACATGTGAAGCACTAATATAGAAATAACCCTGCTATTTTTTATTCCACGTGCAAATGATCGAGCTGATTTTCTAGTCCAGTGATAATAGTGGCTGTCTAAGTGGGTCACAGCCTTGTCATCAACCCCACTTCCTATATATACTCTCTGCCGGCCGCGCCCGCCCACCCCACGCCACGGGCCCCCCCCACCCCCCACCCCCAAAAAAAGAAGAAAAAGAAATTGTTCTCTTTCTCCCATCTCCCCCTAATTCTATAATTCTGATCTCTTTCTCTCTCTCTACGAACTGTTGTGGCAGCGACAATTTCGGCAGAGTTTCTGTAACGTGCACAATAAGAAAGAAAGATCAATAAATAAGAATTCCCGTCTCACCAGGAGAACAAGAATCTGAAGCGGATATCTCAACCAAGTGAGATATCGCGCTCTTCCTCTCATCAGTTCTAGACTGACCTGTCGAGGGTCCTAATAACTATTACAATCACCACAAAACTCAACAAACCAATTTTACGTGGGTTCGCAAACCTGGCCTACGTCCACGGGGCAAGGAGGGGGGATCTAACTATTAGGAGAGAAAATACAATAGGGATTTACAATCTCACAAATAAACCAACTCAAACTAACTCTCTAATTCTCAACAAAAGGAAAACACAAGAGACTGCCACAAAACTCTTCTTGCACAAACCCTAAAGATTTTTCTTTCTTTGCTGCAACCGCGCTTTGTTTCTTTGTACCCCGCTTTGCACGCCTTCTGCTGCTTGCCGATTTTCTCAGCCGCCAGCAAAAGGACGTCCCCTCTGCTTCCGCAAAACTAAGGAGAAAATACAATTTTCCTATTTATAGCATGCAACTCAATTTCGGGTGGGGCCACGCGGAGCCTGAACCCAATTCATGAGCGGAAAGGGATTACATCAAATCGCGTGTCTTGATAGGTTTGCCAGCTCGTGGCCCCCACAATCCACTCACAACTTCCGTGTTTACAATTCTCCACCTCGGCGAAGCTTTCCCAAAACTGAGCTGACACCAACCATACCAAATGTCTCACTTGTTGTGTCCAATACGAAGTGAAACAATTCACGATAACAGACTCAATCCATAACAAGTCGAGAACCCAAATGAGAGTGCAAACACTCTCCAAACGTCGGTATCTACTCACCAAATCGATCTCACCCCCCATCAAAATCCAACCCAGCTGCATCATAAAGACTGCCTACGTATCCTCTTGCCCAAGGAATCAAGCCGAACGTAGTTCACTCAAATGGCCTCTAAAGGCCTCAATCCACTAGAAGAGTTCGCAACCCTTCTCCAATATCATCAACCCTGCGGCTGATAGCACCTCCAATGGCCTCAAACACCTCCACCTGAGGCGAACCAATGGCCATATCCAAACTATGTCTGCCAGCTGCACTCGATTCAAAACCCAACTCATCATCTGCATCCAAATTCAAATGACTCCCACGCTGTGTCACCTCAGTTGGAATTCCAACCAATGCAGAATAATCTGGAGTAATCTTTACCCAATGTGGAGTAGCATCACTCTCCACCCGCTGCGATACCTCTAAGGTCTGTCCAAAACTCTCCACCTGCTGAGAGTTAATTAGCTCCCTCATCGAAGCCTCAACCGAAGTGACACTACCAGACCTATCTTCCAATGAAGTTTTACCTCCAATCACAGCAGTTGACAACTCTTCAATAGGATGACTCAAATATGTCGAAGCCTCTGTCCAGAAACTCTTCTGCAGACCATTGCTCGACCACCAACACCGTTCCTCCTCCAGCAAGACACGGTTCTCCAAATTTGTCACCTTATCTAGTTGCCCCAAGATTTCCTTTCCAACGAAGTGTCTCGAAATGCCGTGAGCTCGGCTCCAATACAGAAATAGGTCCATCTTGTACCTCCCACCAGAATGGAGTACCTTCACCTTTCTGTCAATATCATACTTCTTCAATCTGTTAGAGACTACTAGGACTTTCTCCAATGGGGATTTGGTTGCAACCCAAACACGCCTAGAACAGTCACCAACAAAGGAAACCAAACGCCTATTACCTCCCAATGATGCCCCCTTGGAAGGCCCCCAAACATCCACGTGAACTCCTCCAGAACGACCCTTAGCACGGTGAATAGAGGTGCCACACTTCACCTCGGTCTTCTTGCTCACATCAACATGTTCACTGGACTTCAAACTGCAGGTCTTCGCACCCTCTTTCAATCTATACGAGGAATCAATACTGGAATGGCCAAGCCCCAAATGCCGCAGTCTAGACGAATCAATAGAAGTCGCCAGTTCTCCACCGGCCACTATACCTCCAGTCAAGTAATACAGGTTATTTCTCCTGACGCCCTTCATCAAAATACGAGAGTCTCTCGCAATCTCGAGAACCATGTCCTCAACACGAACCTTCAGACCCTCTTCAACCAAAGCTCCAATCGAGATCAAGTTCTTTCTCAAAGAAGGAACATATCTCACATCATTTAGCTCCCTAACAGTCCCGTCAAACATCTTTATGCGAATTCTTCCTATCCCAAGGATCTGGCATGCACGGTTATCAGCCATGTACACCACACAACTATCCAGCTTCTCAAAACTAGAGAACCATTCCCTTCTAGGGCACACATGATAGGTCGCACCACTATCCAACATCCATTCAGATTCCTCCGAATAGCTATCTGTAGGACTGATAGAAAGCGAATAAATAGAAGAGTCAGAATTATTACCATCCGATACGATGTTTGCTTCTGATGATGGTTGCTTCCCTTTTCCCTTCTGCTTATTCTTCATCCATTCGTCGAGCTTTGGGCAGTCTTTCTTCCAATGACCAGTCTCCTTGCACCAAGCACACTGATCTTTTCCTACTCTAGACTGTGACTTCCAATTCTTTCGGTTTGGCCCCTTCCCTCTTGCGGCCAACGCCTCTGCTACCGGCTCAACTGAAGCCTCCTTATCCTTCTTTCGAAACTGATAATTCACAAGTGCAGCAGTGACCTCACTATACGAAAGTGATGCCTTCCCATTAATCAAAGTAAGAACGAAGGTCTCATATTCCTCGTCGGGCAAGGAACTCAACAACAGCAACGTCTTGTCCTCATCTTCAATTATGACATCCACATTTGCCAAATCCGCAAGAAGCTTTGTGTAGGTGTTCATGTGATCTCTAATTGAGGTTCCCTTCTTCAACTGGAAACGATAAAGTCTCCTCTTCAAATGCAAGCGGTTCTCAACACTCTTTGTCAGATACTTGCTTTCGAGAATCTCCCAAATCTTCTTCGCAGAAGTCTCATTCATCACATCATATTTTAGATCTTGAGTCAAACAAGACCTAATCACACCACACGCCGTTCGATTCATCTTCTTCCAAACCTTCTCTTCAATCTCATCTGGCTTGCCATCTAACTCCAAGGTATCCTCCAAATTCTGCGCGTTCAGCGCATCCAAAACCTCGCATCTCCATAATCCAAAGTTGTTTGTGCCATTAAATTTCTCCACATCTATCTTCATAGAGTGGATATTCAAACTCTGAATAGTCTTCACGCCAGAAGAACCACCCTCGACTCCCGAAGCACCTTCTTTCCCCGACATCTTACGCACCAACGAACAAATAATAGATCCAAAACTGAAAGATAGAGTCTTTACCAAAAGATCCCACATTTATCACCAACGAAGTCCTAAACGGGCCTCCAAATTGATCTACTCCTCCAACCAAACCCTAGATCTGGAATCTGGGTTCTGATACCACTAGTTGTGCGCAGCGGAAATTTCGGTAGAGTTTCTGATGCACAATAAGAGAGAAAGATCAATAATAAGAATTCCCGTCTCACCAAGGAGACAAGAATCTGAAGCGGATATCTCAACCAAGTGAGATATCGGCTCTTCCTCTCATCAGTTCTAGGACTGACCTGT